TGTTTGGGTGCTATAACAAAATACCATAGACTTGGTGGCTGATAAACGATGTAAATTTATTTCTCACAGTTCTAGAGGCTGGGAAGTCTAAAATCAAGGCTCTGGCAGAGTGAGTGTCTGGGGAAAGCCCACTTGCTGGTTCAGATAGCCGTCTTCTTGCTGTGTCCTCACACGGCAGAAGCTGGGAGGGAGCTCTCTGGGCTCTCTTTCATAAGGGCACTAATCCCGTTCATGGGGGCTCCACCCTCATGATCTGATTGCCTCCCAAGAGCCCCACCTCCTAATGCCATCATGCTGGGTGAGGATTTTACATTTCATTTTGCTGGGGGGACGCAGACATTGTCTATAGCATCATCTTTCCTGGTGTGAGCTGCAGGTGTCCACACAGCAGGGCTGCATTGCTGGGATTGCTGCGGATTAAGGGAACCAGAGTCACCTTCAGAGAGATGGGTCCCCTCAGGGCTCCCTGCTTTTCCCGGGCAGCTCCAGCCCAGGTGGGTGGCCCCCCTTAGTGGGTCTAGACTTCATTCAGCTAGGGTATCTCGTGTTTTTGTATGCCTAAACTCATCTGTTCATGGTTCTTGTAAGCACCAAAATTAGCATCATTTGATTTGTTCCATTTACTCTCTTTGTTTAAACTATGAAGTGTTTTAACCTATTCACACAAAGAAAGTTTAAAAGCAAGGCCACTGATTTTCACTTAAAATTGTTAGTGTAAAGATTGAAAAGCAAAATTAATTGCATTTAAGAGAAACATATGAATGCACTAATATAAAGTAATTCATAAGCCTGGGAGGACTTACGGTATTTGGAGTAAGGCTTTAGCTAACATATATAACTTCATATACACATGTGATAAAAAAATTAGAATAATCCACTTCGAACACTTTATTTAAAAAAAAATCCCAGTGATTTATAGATGGAAGTATTATTTCATGTTACTTGTTAAGATAAAAATCAGCTCTGCCATTTTATCCTTGTTCGTGTACATTTACCCCAGCAGAAAGAACATTTACTCTAAAAGATTTTGAAAGAAAATTAGCAGTTAAACCCAAGAGAGTTCATCTACATTATCAGACATGACGTCATGATCCTACGTGGCCCTCCTTAGTAACTATTTAGAAACCAGATCTTCTTATTTTGCTTTTAAGGCATAATGTGGCCTGACATTTCCCCCACTTTTAATGAGTTCCATTGCAGTGAACTTCCAAAATCCTAAGGAAATGTCTTCAGCTTCTACCATGTAATGACAAAGGGTCTCCTTCCCCTGCCCTCTCCACCTCCATTTACTGGTGTTCTTCTAAGTAACGTCAGAGGCTTTTTAAAATGTCATTACAAAATAATTCTTATTCAACCCTGACTTTCAAATACATCTTTTGCCTTTGGCATTTTTCAGACTACTGGACAGAATGTCCCCATCGCAGGTGAGACACTAAGTCTGCAGCCCCCCGTGTTGTTATCTAACAGCATTTTCTGCAGGTGTGGTCCATGCCCTGTTGCAAAGTCACTTAGGATGCTTGCTGAAAATGCACATTCCTGGTTCCTCTGCTGATGGGGCCCAGAAAAATGCATTTTAAACAAGCAATTCAGATGATTCTGATGTGTGCAAAAATTTGAGTCCCCTGGAAGGAGCTATTAGGAACGTATTCGAAGGAGATGTGGTGTGTGAGGGAACAGCCTTTTAAGATGTCAACCCAGTGAAAAACAAGGGGCAGCCTTTCCATTTTAAAATGAAGAACTCGGGCAGAACAATTTTTCAGGCTCCTTCCAGCCCTAAAACCCTGAGATCATTTTGTCCTTGTCTATGCTCTGAACACTGCAGGCTCTTTGTGTTCAGGCTTCTGAGAAGGCGTTCCTTCCATCTTTTAAACTGGATGTAAGCGCTTCTATTGACAACTGAAAAAAATGGATTAATTTTGTTTTAAACCAAATCCTTTTAGGGTTTAAAAGTTTTTAATAGCAATCAAAGATGGAGTTTTAGACACAGTATTTGAGATGTTCTTCATTTCTTCAAGGTCTTGGGCCTTCAAGGGCACCCTGATTTGGGCTAACTGGGTTGGGGGGAGAGAGGCGACACCATCAATCCTCCAAATGGCACATTTTGGGTTAAGATTTTCTAAATCTTAGAAATTAACATCAAAGCTTGTATTGCAACTTTCGAGGGGTGTTATTAGTGAAGGAAACCATCTTCTGTCAGAAATGCAGACGTTAGGCACCATTAATATTGGTTCAAAGTAAAGTCAATACTTTTTTCATTAGAGGTGCTTTAGCAATAAAAGTCATCATTAAATATTTCTCAAAGGCAAAGTCAAGGAGACAGAATGGGCCTGCAGATACTGTAATAAGAACTTCTTAAACCAAGGCATGACATTTCATCCAAAACAGTTGATTTTTACTTGGAAGATGGCTTAGCAAAAAAGAAAGTAATAAATGCTTTTCATATTGCTGAGTAGAAATCAAACTACTTCACAAAAAATTATATTTCTATTTTGGTTATATAAAAGCATAATTTATGTCAATCTGTGAATGACTTAACTACCTTAATTAAATCCTAAGAAAATAATCTACAGAGTGTTTATTAAAGAACAAAGGAAATATGAAACAAATCATTTTTCTTGGAGATAAACATGCAAAATTAAAACTGTATGGGGAGTGACTTGAGGAGAAGACCCAGCTCTCTGATGAACTTGATCTTTCGACTTTCTGTCTTGTTGACTGAACATGTCTCTTGCTTAATAGTAAGAACTAGTACATTTCTTCTTCATACGGATTCCCCTGGGGAACAGGGGAAGTTTGTGTTCCTCCTTTTGATGTTTCACTTGGAGGCGTACTATCAAAGGTCCTGTTCATTTTTTCCCCAGTAGTCTAAATGTATATTCATTTAGTCACAGGAAATCATGCACATAGTTAATATCAATGCAGGAACCAGACAAGCAGCTTCTCACCACATGAGGGGAGAGCATGAGGAGGTGAGAGTCAGACTGACAACAGATGTGTCCGGGGAGTGGGCTCCTGCAGCAAGACGACCCCAGGAAAGCAGCTCTGCTCACTCACAGGGAAAATAACACTGAGGCCCACGCAACTGTGTAGGAACTCACATTTCTTTAATGTAGTTTAAAAATGACCATAGGAAATGAAAAGCAGCATTACAGAGTGGGGACAAATCCTGAAAGGAATGTCATCGCAACACAGAGTCCTCCAGACGTCAGAATTACTGGGGCCGACAGTCACGTTTACAAAGGCCTTGTCACAGGGGCGGCTGTGCTTACAGACGGCCTTCCTGAAGTAGGAAGCGTTGGGTTGAAGCTGTCCCCCTCGCTGAGCCTCCTTTAAGGCAAGCTTTTCCTTTCTTCTCTTCTCTTTTTCTTCCTTCCTTCCCCTCGTCTCCCTCCCTCCTTGCATGCTTGTTCTTTCTGTCACTCCTTATCTGAGGCTATTCAGGAAGGGGATTGCAGCAGGTAGATAATTATCTTCCTGCCATGGGAGATGTTTTATCATATTCAGAGAACCTGAATGGGATGTTGAAAGGAGATCTTGTTTTTTTTCCTCTTTTTCACGTGGGAGAAGGGTTTGCCAGAGTCCTCTTGGATAGAAAGGGAAATCTAGGAGTGGAAAATATACATTTACAGCTCACCTTTCAACTGAAGGGCCGCTGTGTCCACCTCACAGGATGTTGTGATACTCTGTGGTCAAAAATGTTCTATGCAAATTCTAGAAACATAAAATGACAGTAGGATTCTAGGAGCGTTGACTGGGATTCATAGTCAACATTATGACTCTAGGATTGAAAAGAGAGGGGATATAAAGACAGGTTTGCAGAATGAGAAGGAAAGGCAGGTCTGTTTGACAAGGAGGTAAATATTCAACTCAATCGAACAAGCTTTGATCTCTTTGGCCCAGAAAATCCAGCAGGATTTTGAGTCTGAGTGAGAGGGCAGGCTGTTTAATATGCTGCTTTCGACCTCTTGCGCCCTGTGTAGGAGGAAAGAAATGTGAGGCAAGTATTTGCACATTGCCCTGAAAGGAAATAAAAATGCATTACAGATGAGTTGGTTCGGTGACCTCACGTTGTTTGATTAGAGATCATTTCTCTCTGATGGTCTCATTGCTGACACATGCTTTTCCTTTCTGTCTCACTGTGACTGCAGGAAGGGTCTGTGGGCAGCTCAGTGTTTGACCTGAACGTGTTCGGGTTCTATAGTTACATAAAACTCTGAACATAAGGAGAGTCATTCCTAGTTTTATGTGGGTACATATAAATATGTAATGTAATAAAATAAAAACAATTTCTAGGTAATATTTAGGTCATGTAATAAAAGTTAAGACCCTATAGAAAGGTTTTGTTCTTGTGTGACATCTAAAATAAACATAGCCAGACAGTAGTTAAAGCAGTGAAAACAGAGTTTATTCAGTAACCACTGACTGGAGGGGAAGGAGCAGAGCTCCACCGCGCTGTGTGCACAAGTGACTGGTGGCTTAAAGGGACAATACGGTGGGGGGGTGGGGAGGCAAGGGCAGGGTGCTGAGCAGAGTCAGGAGAGCAGAATAGTGCAGAGGGTGGGAAGGGGCTGGTCTGGCTTTGCTGACTGGCTCTCATGGAAGGGAGGCACCTACCTCTGTCTCCCCAGAGACTGGGGGACAGGGCCCCCTCTTGAGGTGGGGCTGAACAAACGGTCGTTCTCTGGCAGCCCTGAGTTTTCCCAGGCAGGCACCTTAAGGGGGACTAGGGTCATCCTATGCACGTGGCCTTGAGCTGTTAGAAATTTGTTAGCGTTTGTCCAGGTCTTTATAAGCCAAAGTTGAGGCCTAGTTGAGGAGAGGACTCAGGAGGCTGGCTCGAGGTGGTCAGGGAGAGTCTGCGGTGGCAGTTACCGGGTGGCAGGGTGTCCTGGCCTTCTTACGATACACGCTGACCGCTGTGGGTTAGCTCTTGTTGAGGGAGGTTGATTTTAAATTCTTAACTGAAGAGAAGTATGAAAAATTACGCTACTTTGTTTCAGGGCCGAGATCTGGACTGTAAAATTCAGGAATATAAAGAAGCTGGGAAAACCTTTCCAGAGACTCAGGTAACAGAATGGTTTATCCAGCTGTTGCTGGGAGTTGACTACATGCACGAAAGGTATGTTCCTTTGTTACTGAGGGACCACATTTTTTAACAGTCATGTCTGAACTCAAAAAATGAATTTTGAGGGGGGGAAGTGTAGAATTGAGAGGAACTAAGTCCAAAAGGTAAGTGACTGTAGTTAAATATCTACAATCTGCTTTTCCATGAGGAGACTGCTGGGTGATTAAACCTAGAGGATTTACTTAATTACCTTTTTTGTTGTTGTCCTAGAAATCAAGTTGGCCTTAAAAATAAGGCAGAAACTTGTATTAAACACATTCCTCTGTATCTGCTCCTGTCCTGGGAACCACAAGCGATTCTCAGAGCCTTTAGCATGCTATGATTTTGTTATATCTTGCATCAGGCTCAGGCTGTAAATGCCCTGGCAGACTGCAGGTAAATCGCGTGGTGACTTTGGAATGGGTCAGTGCACATTTAGCTGTGTTCACTTGCAAGATGCATTGAGTGATTGAGGCAGAAGATAATCTTTGGTCTCAGAGAGATAATTATTCAGACCAAAAGTCAGTTTCGACATGAACTAGCTGATAAAGAAGGTCAAAGTATGCTCCATGAGTTCAACTGTCTATAAATTTGCATTTATAATCTCTGCCTCGAAAATGCATTTTAAAACTTTTTACTATTTTTTCTATAGGTCAAAAGTAAGAAGTTTTTCTCTCCCCCACACCCCCGCCCCGAAAAAGGAACCAGGATGGGGGAGAGTATAGCTCAAGAGGCAGAGCATGTGCTTGGCATGCACAAGGTCCTGGGTTCAATCCCCAGTACCTCCTCTAAAAATAAATAATAAAGCTAATTACCCCCCCCAAAAAAACAAACAAAAAAATAAGAAGTTTTAGATGTGAAATGTTTTATAGACCCATAAAATGATTGAATGCATTTGAAAAGATGAGTGTGCCTAGACAAGTAAAAGTAGATACCATGAGGGGTCCATGTCAGCTGTCAACTCAGGAGCAGGGGGAGCACGTGGGAACATTCTTCTTGAACAAAAGTGGAAATTTGTAGGGTACACCAAGGTCTGGCTATCTGTAGATATCAAGTAGCTTAAATGTGTTATCTATGCTTTCTGATGGTATAAAAGGTAATCTGATTATTCTGTGCTTTGCCGTGTATCTTCTGAAACACTTGCTTGATGAGACGGATAGTCATTGACTTCCTGCCAGCTCATAACAATCTTTTGAATGGTGTCAAACTATCCTAGGAGACAATGATTAAAGAATGCCAGATAATCTTTTAATAAACTACCCGGAGCTGCAGAATGTAAGACTTCTGTGTACTTGCAGTTCTATTGGTATTTCTTGTATTTTCTCTACTATTTCTTGGCATATTTGTTAGCTTAGACTAAGGAAAACAACACAGATAAAGATGCCAACTTTGATGTTCAGTGTGCAGAATATAAAATTGAAATCTGGTTGATTAGGAACCCAAATACTTTTTGATACATTTGGGTCTGCTTAGTAATAGTTAAAATAAATGAGTTTAAAATAATCCTTCAAAGAGAGGATTTAAATTTGTTTTGACTCCTTCAACATTCTAAGAAAGTCATTAAATAGGGCTCAGTGTTGGGTATTTGTGGTTCTGTGGATCTGAAATACTATCCTTTGTGCTTCAGATAACAAGTGATGCTGCTTCTTATTCATTATGTGATTGTAACCGGTTGTTATAAAGTTCTTCTCTATAGACAGAGAAACTTCAACTTTAAGTTTATTCATTCCCTTATTAAATAGTGGTAAGTTTAAAGTAAAGCCTAACCTGGAAGAGCTGTTAGTAAACTTGTAGAGATAAAACATGTCCCCAAATATCTGTACACCATGCAGCGTGGTTGATACACAGGGTTCAGAGTCTCTGCTCGGCGTGCATCATGGCCTCGGACGGTCTGCTTAACCTCTCTCAGCCTTGCTCCCTCATCTCTTTAGCAGGGAAAATAATAGCACTGTCTGCTTGCTTCATGGGGCTGTAGGGAATATGGATTGAGATATTACACACTTTAAAATTTGCAAACTGTCAAGCCCTATTTAAGTGTTGTTGTTTGTGGTTATAATTCGATACCGAATGAGGAGGGCCTCGCCACCAGAAAAAGTGAAAAAAATCTCTGACAGTAACAAGTCTTGGCAGGGAGGTGGCGGTACTGGAATTCTCTCATGTTGCTGTTAGCACGTGAATTGGTGTAACTACTTGGAAAACATGCTTGATAGTACCTCAAGTGGCTTATGACCCAGTAATTCTGCTCCTGAGATGAAACATGAGTACCTATGTCCAACAAAAGGCATGTTCACAAATGTCCACAGAGGCCTTATCTGTACTAGCCGAAACCCTGAAAAATGTCCATTTCCAGCAGAATGGTTAAATAAATTGCAGTATATCACACAGTCGGGTACTGCTCTGCAGTGAAGAATAGTGCACAACTGGTAAGTGTGATCTGAGGCATCTCAGGGATCGGATGTGGGTAACAGGTGCCAGGCACAGAAGAGTGTGTGTTCTGTGACTCCATTTATATGTCATTCAAAGCAGGCGGACCGGACGTGCGGTCGGTGAGTCAGAACAGAGGTTACATTTGAAAGGGAGTTTTGACTGAAGGGGAACAAAAAACCTGGGATGCTGGGGCTGTTCTGCCTCTTGATCTGGGCGGAGGGTTACAAGTGTGATGCGTTTTGTAAATGTTCACCAAGCTTCAGATTCATGCACTTTAATGTAAATTGTTCTCTAATGTAACATGAGTGTTCAGAGTGCTCTAGGAGATCCTAAGAGGGGTGTTTTTATTTGGGAGAATCAATGACGAAGTCTTGGTAGAAGTGATATTTGACCCACGGTGGGCTTTGACTATGGTGAGAGATAGGTCAGAACTTGCCAGGCAGAGGGAACAGAGTGAGCAAAGGTGCAGGGCTGAGGAAACGTGGCTCTTTTAGGGGGAATGAAGAGTTCCATCGGAAAGGCTGTTGGAGTAATGAGTGGGGCTGTGAGTAGACGTAGGTTAGATCAGGCTGCAGGGGCTTTATTTTGTAGCACAGACATTGATACCATGAAGTGGAGCTGTAATGTGACCGGAGCTGCAGGAAGATTAGCTGACAAATCACAGAGGAGAGAGAGGGCAACTTGGGTTATCCATCTGGAACCTTTCATAATATCCACGCATGAGTAAGACCTGAGCCAAGGTGGCCGCCATGGGCGGCACATGGATGGATGAGCGTGAACTTGATAAGTTGAAATGAACAGGCTTGAAATTGAGTGGTTATGTGTGAGGTGTGGGAGGAGCAGGTCAGAAGTGGACCTGTTTGTCACCGGAGGGTGAGCAGGGGGTTAACTGTAAATATGCTGCATCAGTGGGGATGGTGGATGCCAGGTGGGGATGCGGGGAGAAAAGGAGGTTAGAAGTGAGGGCCTAGATCTTGGGGAGACAAAAACTTGTCTTTGCTCAGATTCTTCCAGTGTCAGAACCTGAAACAAAGACAGGTACAAGGGATTTCTCTCAGGTGGTACCCGGAAATAGGAGTTGAGGGGGGTGAATGGGGGAAGGGGGAGCATGTGGGCATCTGGGTGGGGGATGCACAGGCAGCGTTCCTTCTCCTGTGCATGTTTAGGTTTGGGTTCCTCTTTCAGGGCTTTTTCAAAAATTCTGGCCCACCCAGAACATTTGTTTTCTAACACTATCCTGAATCTCCGCTTGAAAAATTTCTCACATTCCTGGGAATCTGGGCTGGGGTCAGAGGCAGGTGTCTCCATCTTGATCCAATCTCCAGAATAGTTTTCAAATAGAGAAATGCTCTATATTATTCCTGATCACAAATACATCACCTACTTTTCACTTCTGTTATTTTCAAGATTTAATTTCTATAGTTCTAAGATAGGTTTTTTCAGAGAATACAGTTATTTATCTTAATTATCTGTTTTTATAACAGTTTAAATCCAAAAGAATGAGTCTGTTAGCATATGGCATAGACACTTATAAGTAATGATGTAACAAGCCAAGAGTCCTCACAGTTGACAGCTACCTTGAGAGTGTGGTGCCAAACGTCATTCCTGCTGAGGGAAGCCGTGCTGTGTGGACAGAAGGCAGTCCCGCCTTGTGCACTGGCTGCTGCAGGTCGGCTCTCCCGTCTGCCCGGTTCCTCTGGCCACTCTGCTTTCTCACAGCTGAGGGAGGGACAAGCAGAAACACCCATGGTTCTCAAAGGTTCTGCTCAGAGCTGACAGTCACCCGGTCTGTCCCCATGCCTTTGACCTGAGCAAGTATCATGACCAAACCCAGGGTCACAGTGGGGGTGCCTGTTCCTCTCAAAGGGACTGCTCACTTCCAGGCACAAGAGGTGTGAATATCTGGGGGACAAGGGCGTGTCCTTCCACAACGGTCCCTCCACTGTCAGCCTAGTCTTTCAGACTAGAGTCTGAAGTAGAAATAAAAATAGATCTGGCTGCAAAGCCCTGTCCCCGCCTTCTCTTGTGGTCTATAGTACGTATGGCAGTGTGTTTTTAAATGACATGGACTGTCTACAAATGAGTTAGGAAGATTACTTTGGAATGATTTACGTGAAGAGGTTAGATTTGACCCCTCTGTTGCAGATGCCTTGCAAATTCTTTTAATGCATGTGGTGGTCAGTTGTATGTGTCAGTCTGAGTAGGCCATGAGGTTCCCGGTTTAAACACCGCTCCTGGGTGTGGCTGTGAGGCTGTTTCCAGGTGAGAGCAGCACTGGAGCCAGAGGCCTCTGTCAAGTGGGCGCCCTCCCCAGCCCCTGAGGGCCTGAACAGGACAAAAGGCAGAGGCTGGAGCAGGTGCCCCTCTCCTGCCTCCCTGCTGAGCTGGGACAGCTCGCCTGTCTTCTCCTGCCCTTGGACTAAGAGACAGACCGCAGACCCATTGGTCTCAGGCCTTCAGACCAGGACCGAACTAGACCCCCAGCTGTCCTGGGCCTTCGGCTGTAGACGGCAGACCTGGGGACTCCTCAGCATCCAGAACTGCGGGGGCTAGTTCCTTATAATGCAGCTCATCTGCGTCTGCCTCTG